TTGGTTGAGAAGGCAGAGGGGAGGTAGATTGATAGATTTTTTTAGCATTGATCGGATACATACATTTTATTATCTCACTGGGTTGTGGGATGGGTAAATTTTTTTTTCCCTTATTATTTATATTGGTTTTGTGGGTTAGTTGTGATACCATACCATACATACTATTACTATGAATCTCATGTCTCTCATGTTGGGGCAGATCAAATACTATGACTATACTCTTTTACTGGACTGTAGAAGGCATGCGAGATGCCGATGTTGTGTATGTATATCAAGTAAGTTCGCGTAGTTATTCTGGCTACAATTACGCTTAATATGAAGTAAAAAAAGTCTTGTTCATCATCAGACGTCATTCCTATTATATCTATCTGAAATATCAATGACATGAATATGTATAAGGTAAGTACCGTGCAGCTATATATACCGATAATGTACCTGATGTGGAATCCAGGTATCCCCAGAGAAATTTGAACCTGTGCCAGGCCGAACCCAGGACCCAAGTAGCCATGCCGTAACCCCGAGTGCAAAGCAATGAGAAAATCAAGACGCTAAATCGCTGAATCAAATGTTGAAAAAGACAAAGCCACCGTTCTATGACGTGGGTTTAAGAAGAATACTATGCACCGTTCTGTCCTTCTTCTTCTTCTTCTTCCGAATCATTCGTGTCGAGCCAGCCACGTGACATCTCGACGGCCTTGGACCACTGACGGTACATCTTCTTGCTCTGCACTGGGGAGGCATGGGGAAGGAAGGTCGTGCGGTTGGCCCGGTTCATGTCCTTGAGCTCGCTGAAATCCTTCCAGATGTTGACCGCGAAGCCAGCTGCGATGGCGGCTCCCAGCGCCGTCGTCTCGTGCATGGCCGGGCGTTCAACGGGGATTTGAATAATATCGGCTTGAGTCTAAGAGGGGGGCATTAGTCTCCCTTGATCAGGTGACAAGAATCATGTGAGTAACCTACCTGCATGCAGATATCGGAATTGCTCATACCGCCATCGACGGCCAATTCCGACAACTTGTGACCGCTGTCCATCTCCATGGCATCCAAGATGGCCTTGGTCTGGAAGCAGGCAGCTTCCATGGTGGCACGTGCAATGTGTCCACGCTGAGTGTGCTGAGTGATACCAACTGAATCAAAGTCAGTAACTATTTTCCTCACAAAGAACGGCGAAGAACGCGGGTGAACTTACAGATGGTTCCCTTGGCATCATCAATCCAGTAGGGTGCGAACAGACCACTGAAGGCAGTGACGAAGACACAGCCGCCACTGTCGGGAACGGTCGCAGCGACCTCACTGACTTTACGGGAATCACGGAAGAAACCCATGTTGTTCATCAGGAAGGAGATACCACTTCCAGCGACAGCGACACTGCCCTCCAAGGCATACACAGGCTTGCGGTGCTTGCCTAACTGGAAGCCCACGGTGCCAAGCAAGCCATGCTTGGAGATAACAGGCTTCTCACCAACGTTATACAGAAGGAAACAGCCCGTACCATAAGTGTTCTTCGCAGATCCGGGAGTGAAGGCACAGTGACCGACCAAGGCAGCAGATTGATCTCCGAGACAGCTTGTGATGGGGATGCCCTCAAGCGGGCCGTCTCTAACCCACCCGTAGCCCTCGGGGTCAGACGAAGGGAGAATCTTGGGCAGTCTGATCTTATTCTTGTCGATTTCGAAAAACTTCAACAACTTATCATCGTAATCAAGCGTTTCGAGGTTCATGAACATGGTTCGTGAGGCGTTTGTGACGTCAGTCACTAGCCGGCCGCCCTCTGGGCCACCGTTCAGGTTGTACAACAGCCAGGTGTCGATGGTACCAAAAGCCAGGCGGCCCTCATCATATGCCCTCTTCACCTCGGGGAGGTTGCGGAGCATCCACATGAGGGTGACGGAGGAAGGGTATGTCGACAGGGGAAGGCCGCAGATGTTTGATAGCTCATCCGCACCCTCCTTTGCCTTGAGTTCTCGAACCAACCCAGTGGTTCTGGTATCTGGCCATGCGATTGCGTGGTGTAGAGGCTCGCCAGTCTCCCAATCCCAGCACACTGTTGTTTCACGTTGACTGGTAATACCAATAGCCTCGATATCGTCCCGGGAGTGACCGAGTGCGAGGAAGGTCTTCATAGCTTCTTCAATGCAGGTGTATACGGAATCGACGAGTTCAAAGGGGTCTTGTTCGTGCCATCTAAGAAGTAGGAAATAGACATAAGCGAGATGAAGATGGACCATGGTTGGAATGGTGAGACTTACCCTGATTTCTCGTGGATTTGGCGGAATTCCATCTGGTACTTGGCCACAGGAACACCAGTGCAGTCGAAGATAATGAAACGGGAACTGGTGGTACCGGTGTCAATGGCACCGATAAAGCGATCCTTCATACTGCTTCCGTGACGGTTCTCGTTGGGTTGTAACAGGGAGCGATTGCCATCATGCGACTGGTAGGCGTGAATGTCCATGAAAGGCTGGGGTTCTTCTTGCTCGACGGCGGAGTCGAGGTCGGCCATATCGAAAGGATTCCTCATCTTGGAGGTAGTAATTGGTGGGGTTCTGGTCTTCTTGGTGGGGGGATTGAGAGGATCAGGGAGAGCGATAGAGTCAAAAGTGATGGTGGGTGATTTCTGCATTTGTGCGGTGGGAGGGGCTTTTGAGGCTCCGACTTCTGATTTCCTAAAGAGGGATGATAGAAGCGACCAGGAAGGCAGAGCCTGAAAAAGGGAAGAACTGATTGGAGAAATCGTGGCGGTATTGAAATAGAAAGGAGGAAAACAGGATTACGTCCTTAGTCCGATACTTAAGAAGAAACGGACGAGTGGGGTGGGGGATAGTAGGAGTAGTAAGGCTGGAACTACGAAAATGAGGACTCCCGGTGGCGGCAGTTGCAGCAAGCCAGTAATAGTGCAAGTAGTACAGATCCAAGAGTGTGCAGGTATGAGAGCAGCGAGCAGCAAGAGAGCAAGGACCCAGCGCGACGGATGGTGACGTATGCGTGATAACCGATTGGGTGGAGAGGGATCCGAGAGTGAATCTGGAGAAACAAGAGGAGGCGCCAGGTGTGGATAGACCGCTGAAAGGCTGGAGGAAGGTTGAGAGGAGGGACCGGAAGAGAGGAGAGTGTCCGCAGAGAGAGGGTATGAGGTCACAGAGAAGACTGGATAAGACCGGGTGTGGTTTATTGGGGTGTGGCGACGGGTAGAAGGGAAGGGAAGGAGAACAGAACGGAAGGGAATCAATTAAATCTGGCTCAAGAGATGTTGGAGGCAGGATGAGGGAGACTCTTTATCCAACTCGGTGGGACCTCTTTTCTTCTTGTTCACGTTGTCCTCGGGGTTGCTGATAATTTATTCCCTTAGATTTTCTATTTTATTATTTTTATTTTAATTCTTTGCGTGGTAGTCCCTCAATTTTTTCCCTTTTCAATCAAATTATTAAAAAAATGCCCCCCCCAGATAGGATTTGGGTCATGCATAGCTTGTTCCGGGGAATCCCCTGGGTCTAGGTGGTATTCCTGCCGGAAAGTAAGGTCCAAGGTCGAGTCGAGTCCAATCCGACCTAGACTAGATCGCTAGTACGGTACCAGTACCTGCTGCTATCGACTGGACTAGCCCGGGGAAACACTAGAAAGAGGTAGTAGTAGAGGAGGAGAGAGGAGGGGGGGGGGAGGGGGGCAGTATACTCTCACTCAATACCAATACAGAGACAGACAGACAGACAAAACAAGAGGGTCAGAAGAGCAGGTGCAATGGACTAGCGGCGAGTACCCAATCTGGCAATCTGCTGGATGCGCATCCCCGTTCGTCCATGGCGGAGAAGTGGGGGCGTGGGGGAAAGGAAAAAGAGGAAAAGAGGGTTAAAAAAAAAAAAGGGAAAAACGCAATGGGTAATCCCCTTCCTTTCCCACTAATCTTTGCCTTCCTTCCTCCCCTTCTGGGCCCTTCTCATCATTTTTTTTCTGATCAGACGACCACTGCCCGTCGTCAGCATTGACACTCGCCCCTCCCTCATGCCCCCCGTTGGTCTTTTCTTGTCGAACACTTGTGAAGGTTCTCCGTTCCTCCCCCCTTACGCGGATGGCAACCATGCCTTCTGGGTGATTTTAGGAAGGTTTACCCCTGGTCACTCGCCATTCTTATCTCTTTAGCTTATTCGGTGGGCTTCCATCGGCGTTACAGATTCCCGTCTGAAGTAGTCACTACTGAATACAGTAGTACCTGGCAGGTTGTGGATGGATTCAGATTTCTCCATTGAACCTTTTCTTTTTTTTTTTCCCCTCTTGATTCGTTCCTATCGCTTGTGTTTGAAAGTTTCAGTTCACTACAGTAGAAATTGATAGATATTGATCGTAACTTATTCGAGGAACACTATGTAAATGCAATTATCTCCAGCTGTCACGACATCTTTTCGACCCAAACGACCGGATATAATGCCGACAAGGTTTCACAGTTCACAGTTCACTCATTTCCTCTTTTTTCTTTACTTTCCTCAATCTTCTCTCATCGGCAAGGTATCCGACCCAGCAGACCGAGTAGGTAGTATTCCAGAGTTGGACAAGCGCTAAGAATAGTCGCTGGGCTCCCACATGACACTCATGGCGGACCCATAAAAATTCCATGGATTTCTGTTTCCAGGACAATCCCTCCACCCGCATTAGCTAGCGTCTGTGCCTAGAACCACCCGCGAACACGGAGCCATATGGAAGAGAACATCAGGATTCCATTGGGTCCAAAACAAGCAATTAAGGGCTGACTGACTTGCTCAGATTGCGATGTGAAACATGGCAGATGCTGATATTCATCGTGATATTGATATTGGATCTTTTTTTATTGCTCTTATTCCCGATATCGCTGGTTTAATTGGTGTAATTAATGGTTTCGCGCCAAATCCTATGTTCAATTTCACAATTAAACAATCAATCGCATTCTGATCTATCAATCCGATTCCTTGTTTGAATACCAAGAAAAAAAACCGCAGATGCCAGATCAATGCATCGTACATCAATACGTAAGTCTGCCCGACCTAACTAAACAACTGGACAATTCAGGATGCAGTGTACAGTTATGAGTGCCTGTATACCGACATGTCCCCTCGAAGATCTACAATCGGCATCCCTAGAACCCAATGGATCTCCGGTCCATCTGCCCCAGAGACCGTAGACCGTCTTCTCGTCTTGCGCCCCTTCGACCTCCGCTCCCCCTTGACAACAATCCCTGCCAAGGATCCGACTCAACAACCAGAACGGCGGGGTCGGCGCTGAGTGGACAAATGTCGCGACTTGAGGGCGAAACGCGCAAGAAAAAAAAAAGAGGGGCTCTGCGGGTGAGTCTCCGACTCCGCTACTATGGGATTCTGCGCTTCTACTTTGACTAGATAGATTACTAGATTCCTGTCGATCGAGCACATGACAATGTCCATTTTTCTCCCGCTAGTCCCTTTTTAACGAGTTGTTCAAGCAATCGGCGATCTAGACCGGGGTCTTTCGACCCCTGGCTCCAATATTCTTTCCTTTTTTTACTGTTTTTCTTTCTGATCACTTGAACACCGAATGGATAATTCTCCTTTTTCTTTTCTTCGCCTGTCGTTTTCGGATAGTCCTGCTGTGCTGTTGCGCTGCTTAAGATCTTCAGCCCATTCTGAGTAATAGTAGATAGTAGTCCCTTCACAGTTCACCCGTTTTCTTAAAGCACGGGAGCACGTACATAAACTACCGTACATACTAGTAGCGATCAAGTGACTACTAATCCATCCATCTCAATGGATGTGTTGTCCCCTGCTCTCCATTTGCAATCACATTTTACTTTGGCCTTCTAGACCGTCGGCTCCCCTGACTGGCGACCTTCTAGCGTGCCGCTGTACCATTCCCCATTAGGCAGAGAGACATGGGGGAGGCCACCTCGTTCGGCCCTGTGATTTACGGAGAAATTTTACAATCCGGATACTCGGTTCGGCTTGGCTTGGGGAGGAAGGGAAGCCTAGCAGCTGGGCTGGGGGGGGGGGTCCCACGGGACCAATTCTCCCGGCTATCGTCCTGGCGTTCCGGCTAACTCCAGTACTCTTCTTCTGCTCGGACCAGTCCAGACGCGCCAAAATATAGTAGGATTAATTATCCCAACCCCAGTACCACGATTTCAATCCATCGATGAATTCAAATCGCTTCAGACTTCCCTATCTCTACCTGGAGAATTAAATGACAGTCCCAATATGCGTCCATGGAATGGAAATCAATCATGCCGCCTGCCTACATTTCTCCGTCCGTATAGTGAACCGCCACGGCAGGGCCGCCCCCAAGTCTAACTCCCGGGTGGTGACGTCTTCGACCGGACTTGACCTTCCTAAGGGCCACCTCAATACATCACACCCACCGACACAAACAGCTCCCAAGTAACGCAAAGCAAGCAAGCAAGCCAGCCAGCAGAAATCCCAAACCCGCCCGCCCATTATGAACTAGCCACGACATTGATCTGCCATCTATCCCTATTCAGGTATACGAAGCAACTGCTCCAGGAACCGTTGTGGTCCTCCCCAAATTGAGCGGAGAAGAAGATCAACAGGTTCAGCTTCCAATATGGTCATCTATGTAATCATTCGCCTTTCAAGTATGACCTCACTAGACTATCAGCCCCGAAAGCTCAACCGCCAAGGATCTATATCATCATCCCCCAATGATGCAAAGTTGATATGGGGAAAACCTGTCATCCATGGACCGCAATCACATCAGCCACATCCGTTTTTATCGCCCTGGACCACGGGCTCGTCTCGCCCCAAAAGGGCGGGCCGACACATCCCTACCAATTCCCATCGAAGAAACATACCCTGTCCGCCGAAACAAAGGACCCCCTAGCCAGATACCATTAACTATTTACCCATATTAGCTACTAGATCCCCCGATTCAAGCATGTGGATGTATGCCTAAGGTGTACACATCCACACACACACACAGCAAAGCAACAACCGGATCCAGACCCGCGGCGGCCGTCCACCACCACACATACTCAACACACGCACATCGTCAACCCCGAAACCTGTTTCAATGCGGCACCTCCCCGTTCCGGTCGTCATTGTTGGCTCTTGATCTGCACAAGCAGCACACATCCGTATCACACGCCATAGTAACCCAGTCCCAACTCTTTCTACTACCTCCCCCCCCCTGGACTGAACTACTTACTATACTACTTACCTATCGCAGAACAAACACACTCTATATCCCACGACTCGGATTCGTTCGGAACATCCGACACTGCAGAAAGCAAATGCCGTCCGTCCAACCCTGCATGCCACATTCCAGACCTGCCGTTCGTTCGTTCGTTGTTCGTTGGGCGCGCCCGCCCAACCCTTATCTTTATTACCTTACTTTACCTGCATTTAGTCAAGCATACGGTATACCGTTGGTTTTATACATTGTTACCGCAGAAAGCCACCCGGAGTTCCGACGAGCCTGGGCACTTCTCGTCTTACTTTCCTTTTCTGTTCGGGTCAGGTAGGTCGTTTTTCTGCCGGATTTGATTGGAATTTCTTCAACCCAACCGACTTACATACGTACTACTGTCCTTTTCAATCTATCTACCCTTGCTGGCGGGGCCCCACTCCCTGCCTAATTTTATTTTATTTTATTTCACCTTTTTTTGTTTTCCTTCTCGGCCGTATATGCAGCCTTTTGCTACTTATAGTGCTTGGTACATGCCGTAGATAGATACTATTTGGTAAGTAGGTGGTAAATTGTTTGGATTGGGTTTGGTGTTACTACTAGTAGACACCGTCACCTGACTTCAATTGATACTATCTTTATATATAAATCTCCGGGGGTCGGTGTGATGTCTGGCTAGACCTTCAACTGGCGCTCTGACTGTCCTTGGTGGTAGACTGAAATGATTGAACTGTGCAATTGTGCCAAACCTACTAAACATGAGAGACTGTTTTACTCAGTTACTACTTTGATAGCTCATCACAGTGATGACAACCTCAATACGGAGTACTATTACCCCCATTGACTGGGTCAATAGTACTACAGTAATAATAGAATGATATCCGCCTCTCATGGCACAAACAAATGAAACTTCCAGCAGCTGCTGGCGTTGTTGATTTCGCATGTAATCTACAAAAAACACATCAACCCAAAATAAAAAACAGTAGTAGTATAAAACTACATCTCACACATAAAGACCCGACATGATTTCTACTTTATCACAACCATGCTTGCCACAGACAGCCTGGACGACTTCTCCCCCCCCCCAATTTCTCCGAATTGCCCTTTGTACTATATACTTTTCAGGGAATTAAAATAAACCAACACTTTGATATATCAATCAATTTTAATCCCTTACTCGGCATCCTCGAGCTCAGCGCGACGACGGGCCTCAACCTCCTCCTTCTCCTTCTTCTGCAGGAAGATCAGAGCGTTGATCTTGTCCTTGATGGTGTGCTCAGTGCTGAGGGTACCGGCGATCTGCTCACGGCCGATCAAGCTGGCAACAATGCTGGCACCGACGATGAAGGTGAGGACGAAGCGGTACATGCCGTACCAGGCGGGGGCGCGGCCGGCAGCAGCGGCGCGAGCGTCGTTGTAGTACAGGAAGGTGAAGGCAAGGAACTGAGAGATCAGAGCATACTCAACGGGGAGCAGCAGGGTAGGCCAGGCAACGGCAGGGGCGATAACACCGGCAGCGTAGCGCTTGTAGCCGTACTTGCCGCCGTAGCCGGCCCACTCGAGACCCCAGTGGATGGCACCGAGGAAGGAGAGGATCTGTTGTTGGGTGGTCTGATTAGCTGGGGTATTCTTGGGACAAGTGGGGTTTGCTGTCAGATTGAGGCTGGGTTACTTACAACAGCACCGTAGCCGACCTGGATGGGCTCGATCATGTGCAGCATCAACTCGGCGCTCTGGCCGGAGAAGATCAGACCATCACCGGCCAAAGCGGCGGTCTTGACCTCATAGGCGAGGGCAACGGTTTGCAGGGAAGTAGCAACGTAGGGGATGACACCGGCCATTCCGAGGTAGAGGGCCTCCTTGGGGACGGCCTCCAGGCTGAAGGTGTCCTTGATAACTTTCTATAGGTTGAGATATAGTCATTAGCGCATTGGACTCCAGAGGTATCGCCGAGAGACTTAGTTGCCCCGCAGAAGTAGCGATATCTGGGGAAGAATGGAAACACATACAGCCTCGGTCTTGATACCGGCCATCATGTCGGGCTCCTCGCCTTCCTGTGGATCTTCGATCAGCAAATTGAATCAATTGTAGTAATCAATTCGCCTCATTCCCAGCTCACCTTAGCGGAGGTGGAGGCATAGCGGACAAGAGCGGTAGTGACGGGCTTGCGAGCAGCCAGAGCGAGGCTGGGGGAGGTGGTCGGGCGAGCGGGATAACGAGCGGAAGAGGTCAAGGGAGCCTTGAAGACATTGTTGGACAGGGCCGAGCGGGCGACCGAGGCATTGGAGCTCGAGATAGCCCTGAGAACAGAGCGGGCAGCAGTGGTTCTGTACAGCATTGTCGTCTAGACAGCTGATTTTTTTTTCCCGATATCCGCGGTTAGCAGGTGGAGGGTGGAAGAGCTCGGAAGCAAGCAATTCGGGGGTATACACACCCAATTGAGCTGGTGGAAGAAGGAGAAAAAGGTGCAAGAGCGGAGATGAGGGTATTCACCCAGAAATTGGTCGAGATTGACTCGTGGGAGTGGAGATGTCAGGCCGGGGAAGCAATTCGATCCTGGAGACCACGAATGAATGAGGTGATATTATGCTTGAGGTGCGGTCACGTCGTTCTCCGGCACACCGTAGACACCAACCCCGCAGGTGTCATAGACAATGCCTCAGGCATGACTGGTCCAAACCACCACGCGGGCTGACTCAGCCACGAGGGCTGCAGCCCTAGACAGCTAGTCTCGAAGTGGAAGGGGGTCCTCCCTCTCAGCTCAGGCCATGCCATGGCAGAAGCACCGACGTCACTCAGGGCCCGATTCTACTGTGAGGCAGTGACTGAGAGTCTCCGTAACTGCTCCGTACCGCGTCACGGCGTTTACTTACGCAGCGCTCTATCCACCCTCTTCCTCCCCCTATTAGTGATTAGTTTCTTCCCTTCGTATTATTATCATCGGCCCAGCACATGCCTTCTCAGGTACACTCGCCTATCTAGAGACAAGTCTCGTCCTCCACTCTTTCACAATTGGGTTACTGGGCCAAGCCTGATACCCAACCTTCGACTACTTACTATTTCCCCTCCTTTCCCTTACACTCTTCCGTCTACCTGAACTGCCGCGGGAATACGTCAGCTAGCCCTTCCACGTTCCTCTTTCGCTTTCTCCGCACTTGATTCACTATCTATACTTCCACTTTTTGTTAGCCCATTGCTTGCACTTGCCGCCCGCATTTTGTATCGCGTGCATACTGAGCCAACCTTCTGCATGGCTCTTTTCTCTACTATCTGCGAGTGCAACTAGAACTCGCGCATCATTGAAAGGTGTTTCCCATTCTATTTATTTGCTTGCTCGACCGCCCTTTATTTCCCCCACCAATCTGGAATTATTGCATCCATGTCATGCTGACTCTGCGCTTCATA